CCCCGGGGCCCCCCGCGCCGGCCTGGGGCTCGCCGGGGTGCCCGGAGCCGCCTCCTGCCTCATGAGGCCGGACCGGGACCGTCGGCCCCAGCAGGCTACAGCGAGCTCGACCCCGGGCCCGAAACCCTGAGGGAGAGACTGGCTCTGGCCGGGGCCTTCTCTGCCGCCGCTGCCTCGCTGCTGCTGGGGAGGGAGCCCCCCCGGGGACCCGCGGGAGGGGAGGGGAGTGCAGCTGTTGAGCAGTAACGGTCCTGGTCTTGTCACTCCTGCAGAACTTGAAGAAGAGCTGGCACCCACAGACCCTGCGCAATGTGGAGAAAGTCTGGAAAGCGGAGCAGAAACATGAGGCCGAGCGGAAGAAGATCGAGGAGCTGCAGCGGGAGCTGCAGGAGGAGCGAGCCCGGGAGGAGATGCAGCGCTACGCGGAGGACATGGGCACGGTCAGGTGAGGTGGGGCTGGTACTCCAGGTGCCTGCGCAGCTGGTTACTGTCCCTAAGAATCCTCTGTTGAACACTCCAGAGGATTGCTGCATTACTGCAGCAGGAAGAGGTTCAGAATAGGAAAATTTTATTCAGACTTGCTTGGAGCTGTGTTCAAACTGTCAGGGCTCTGCTAGCAACAGACTGTAAGCTGTCACATTGCGTCACGCTGTCACGTAGTGCTATTTATGTTTTAGAGTAAACGGCAGTAGAGGAGGTTTGTAATTTAATTTCTTCCTCTGGTTCATTCAGTTAATTACCAGCCATGATGTTCTGTAGCTTTTACACGTAACTTCATGTCAAAAAACTCTCCTGCCAGGGATCAAGAGTTTAATGTCTCTGATACGGAAATGTTTCCACTCACCTTCGCAGAGCAGTGCCTTAAAATGTAACTTTCAGACGTCTATGATAGTAAATGAAACGGTCTTGTTTGTAACAGAAAAAGAGAAGAGAAGTTGGAATGGATGTACCAGGGTCCTGGAGGCATGGTGAACAGAGAAGAATACCTCATGGGTCGCCCTGTGGATAAATATGTCTTTGAGAAGACAGAAGACAAGGATGCAGGCTGCTCCAATGAGACAGGACTTCTCCCCGGCTCCATTTTTGCCAAGACAGGTGCCAATTCTGTCCTAGACATGGCAAACAAGATCCGGGAAGATCCACTTTTCATGATAAGGTACTAAAAGTGGAGTTGGTAGCGATAGCTCAGGCAGAGTACCAAAAATAGCAGCTTGCTGAGAACTGTCTCTCGCTTATCTATGTAAAGAATGCTATTATGCCTTTTCCCCAAAGTTCCCCCTGCCTGTTTGTGAGCCCTGGGCTATAGTGACAGTCCTGTCCCCGAAGAGGTCAACAATCACTTACACAACTGGTAGGATTTTACTTGTGTGTTCTAGATGCAGCAATATAATGCCAAATAATCAATTTGATCAGTTAACTGCTTTTGGATAGTTTTGCTAACTTGAATTCAAATCTAGGATGTTATCGTTTGGAAGAGCTGATGATCAGGATATAGACTTCAAGCTGCTAGCTGATAAGGACATAAAAATGCAAAGGCTGTTATTGCACCCTGGTTTTATCTCTACGAATTTAGGTCGTCCTCTTATGTGCACGCAAATATATCTGGTCTGTTATGAGAGGTCAGGCATTTAGCAGTGTTGTAGCCAGGTGGATTATAACCAAAAAAAATCTTGTTTGCCCTATCAATTGGACTCTTAGGTAGGGGGGGGAAAGAGGGACTTCATCTTAAATCGATCTGTGTTGCCGAACGTACAAAACCTGCCTTTTTCTTGCTTGTAGTTTTTCAGGATTGGCACTTCACTGGTGTCTTTCATGGAAAATATGATCCTTGATATTTTCAGTTGTTTGGAAATACTAATTTCTTTTTCCTCTGCTTTAGAAAGAGAGAGGAAGAGAAAAAAAGAGAAGTTTTGAATAACCCTGTAAAAATGAAGAAAATCAAAGAATTGGTAGGTGTATCTCCGTACTCCTTAACAGAGTCGAAATGTAGAATGCACTGAATCAAGGATGGGATCATAGGACAAAATTAATGTCCTTTAGGAGTGTGAGCTGAGTTCTGTTTTTCATCTGTTTCATAGCAAAGCAGAATAAATTCGGCTTTCTATGATCTAGTTATGTTAGAGTGAGGTTCCATATCAGTCTCTCAGCAAAGAGCTAAATTCCTTTCTTTTCAGATCCAGTGTTATTTTATTCTTTATTCTTCTTGCTCTTCTGTTGTCTTTTTAAACTAGTGCTGGTTTAGTACCACAGAATGATTGGAGACATAGGATTTTTACATGTACTGATAACAAACTGATGCTGGGGAAGACTCTAAGTGCTTTAGTTTTGAGAGAGAATCTTGGTAAAGGGTTTAGGTTTTGTCCTGAGAGCCTTTCCATAGAGAACTTTTGTTTGTGCATGGAGATCCTTGTCTTGTGATACTGACTGTTCAAGTGTAGGCACAGTAATGACTACTAATGAAATGGTGTCTTGCTTTATAGCTTCAAAACAGTTTAGATAAAAAAGAGAAAAAGAAGAAGAAAGAGAAAAAGAAGAAGCACAAGAAACATCGACGTCGGAGTTCTAGCAGTGAAAGCGCCAGCAGTGATGAGGACCGAAACAAAACCAAGTATGTTTCAAGGTTTCTTTATTTTAAAAAAAAAAAAAAAAAACTTGTTTTTTGCTTCAGTGGTCCATGTTTTAATGTCTCCTTCCAATCCTCTCTGAGTCTTGTCCTTCTAATGCTCTTAATTTGCCTAAACTTTTCTGTATTGCTACTTATTTGGTTTTGCGTTATTCAATTATAAGCTCATTGGATACAAAGCATTTTTAATTTAAGCATTCCCTGTCCTAAGTTGATAGTTCTATAGTACTGCAATGTATCTATTAATTTGGCTCGCCTTTTCATTTGCTTTGTAGAAAAAAAAACTGGGGACCCATATTTTAGATATTGAATGTATTTTTTTTAAATGGCATTTTAATATACAAAAATGTATTTTTTTTGAACTTCATCTGCTACAAAAGTACTATTCTGTTTCCTCTTTAGATCTCAGAAGAGGATGGGTAATTCTTCCTTGAAGCTAGTTCCTTCCAAGGTCCCAGGATATGGCTTACAAGTAAGCACCTTTGTTTTGCACAGCTCTTTCAGTAGAAAATGCTCATGCAAGAGTTGGAGAAGCTTGCTGCCGTAACTACTTCACCAGCTGGAAGAGGATTATGAAAAGGACATGGTTTAATAAAGTTTGTATTCAATTTGGAGCCATCCAAGCCCTGAAACCAAAGGTGTTCAGATCCTGGTAGGACTTTTGTCCTCTTGGAGTTCAAGTTAAGTTCTATTTAATTTCTCTTCCTGGAGTTGTACATCTGTTTAAATCATGTACTTGACTATTATGACAACTTAGTTTATGGCTGAACATCATACAGAAGTTATCTTTTTAGACACAGGTGTTAGAATAGGAACGCAGCAGATGCGATACATAAACACAAACCAAAATACACACAGTCTCGTTCCCGCACTTAGCATAGTATGCTCTCTCCTCTGTGGCCTTGTGTCGTTGTGATGCTCTTAGGCGATGTCTCTCCTGAAGGATGCTCTTTGAATTCCAGATTAGAGACTCTGACCAGAACCGCAAGTCTCGGAGCTCTCCAGCTGCTGGCCAGGAGAGGGCTCCCCACAAGCACCGGGATCGCTCCAGGTCCAGGAGCCAGTCCCGCTCTCCTCAGAGGCGCAGTAGCAAGAAGAGTGCAGAACAGTCTGGATGCGGGTGGTCAAGATCCCCTTCTAGACACAGTAAACAGTGAGTGTGGCTGACCTGGATAACATATAGCAAGGGTTGCTGGTGGTGGAGTTCTCAGGAACCCGAATCCCTCTTACTCCATCTCTTCCTACCACTTCAGTGTTCTGACAGCATTATTGCTCAGTCCTTGTTGTAAAGGCAGCAGCTGTGCAGTTATGCAAGGGTGCAGAAGCACACAGGTTAGCTCCTGGGGGGCAGCATACTATCTACAGTTGTGCTTTTCATTTGTGACACCCTCCTGTTAAGTGCACACAAAGATATTGCTTGTGGTTGTACTTTATATGGGCTACTGATTCTCTTTAGAATATCTTTGTAATCTTTGAATTATCCTTACTAAATGCTAATAAAGCTAGGCACCAGGTACTTATTGCCTGCTGATGCAAGAATTTAAGGTGAATAAAAGTATATGGAAATTAGCAGTATATCAAGAGTCATTAGAATCTATTTTCGAAGTCGACAAGTAACAGTCCTGAAGTTATGGTAGAGATTGTAGTTTCAGAATGTATACAAAAAAATTGAGGAAAGTCTAGAGGTATAATAAATCATGTTCACCTGCCTGCCCTAAAAAGAGGGTATTCTTGTGTTACAGCAGTCGGGAGGAGAAAGGCAGAGCTAGGAGCCCTTCCCCTAGAAAGGGCTATCGGCGGCAGCATACTCCGGGTTACACAAGGTGAGTAAAATCTTGTCCATCTGCTTCTGGATGCAAGTTGCCTCTGATGATTCCAAAACAGCCTGGTGTAATCTGTGAAACAAATTTTATTGTATTAACTGAAATAGATCACATCAGACCACCAGAAAGTCAGGCAGACAGTCCTAAAGTGTTCAGTGTCGTGCTCTTGAGCTTGATTGCTAACACTTTGTACAGTTTCCCAAACCAACTCATATGGCTGCTGGTTCTTCATGTCTCTCGCATCACTGTGTGGGGCAGTGATGTGAAGTCAGTCTTTGTCCCACCGACTGTTACTTAGAAGGATTCTCTTTCACTGTCACCAAGAAAATACGACCTCGATGGCGTCATATTACCAGTCAATTAAAAGAAGGCTGAAAAGAGGAAGAAAATAGATTATTTCTTGGGGCATGGTAAAGCAGGGCGCTTAGATATGTACTTGCATGCTTTGCTGATTGGGTACCATAGGAAAAGCCGTGTTAAACACCCGTAATTTTGGAGATCATAACGCACATTAAAGAATGGAAAGCAAGAGGGCCATGGGGCCCAGCAATACTACTGATTCACAGCAGTGCTGTTTTCTACACGAACAGAAAGATCTCTCCAGAGGAACTAGAGCGTAAACGCCAGGAAATGATGGAAAATGCCAAGTGGCGGGAAGAGGAGAGAGCAAACAACCTCAGGAAACACCGAAAGGAGGAGGAGCTGGAGCGAGAGATGGAGAAACTTGACTCCCGAGACGGGAAGTTCTTGCAGTGAGTATCTTCGTTGTCTGCTTTTTCACTCAGGAGAAATGTAGGCCACAGCTTCTCAGGAGTGAGTGATCATGGTATAGATCTGTCTCTACTATGTTGTACAGTAGAACTAGGGAAATCTACTTTTCCCAAATTCTCTTCTTACCCAAAAATAGCTACTTTATGCTTCTGTGGTGACCTTGGTAATCAGACCTGAAAACTGATGGCTAGTTGTTTGTGCCATGCTATAGAAATTGCTTAGTGTTTTACAAGCAGATGTTAAAAGCTGTGATTTTTAGGAGCTTACAACAGAGTTCCAGTCCTGCAAGCCAACTGGGGATTTGTGTGCCAAGGGCTTGTGTGACTGAAACCTGTGCTAAACAAGAAGACCAGTTCTAGAGGCATCTCTCTGAACAGAAATAGTAGCTTACAGTCCCTTGTGTAGGGGCCAGGCAAAAGAAACTGGAGTGGCATGAGGACTTCCAGAAAGCCCTGCATCGAGTTAGGAGAGTGCTTTCCCAGTGAGACTGTGGGGCTGTTTTCTGAGGGCCCTGATGCAGCGGTGTGTGAAAAAGATCCTATGGCAGGGTTGTGTATTATGCAGTTGCTGTAACATAGTCTACCTCTTCCTCTGAATAATTTATATAGCCTGGAGGACACTCTAATTTCTGAAGCTGTCCAGAGCTAGAATCATGCAAGGGGGGGTTAAAATCACAATAGGTTTTCTCCGTGAGCAAAATCTCTTTTGTGGAAAGGGATTCCTGTGTGTTCCCCCTGCACAAAACAAGTTGGCTGAACTGACAAACTGTGTTTATTGGTGTGCTGTTTGAGGATCATGATGGGCATGAGGAGGTCATTCAGAGAAGCGCAGCAATACAGTTTGAAGTAGTAAAAGCGGGAAGCAAGGGATCACAAGGATCCCTTCTCTCTTCTGTAGCTAACATAGTAATTTACAGTGTGAGCGCTGGCGTTTGGGTTCCCAGAGGAGCGCTGCCCTCAGTTCGGGAGCACATTGCTTTTCCCTCGTTTGCTTCTCAGAAAGCAACCAAGTCCCCTGTGGCAGTTGCATTTGTAATTAACGGTTAGTTATATTTGGAAGATGAAGGAGACTTGAGAGCTACTGAAAATGTATTTCTGAGTGCTGACCTTAAATAAGACATTGAATCTGTTACAAGCCAAACTAAAAGCTATTCAGTTTTTTCCACTGCAGTCTTTAATAAGAAATAACTGGCTGCTTCCTATTTTGGTTTAATGTAGGTAGATGACTTGGGAATAATGAATGCTGCCAGAAATGGTGTAATGTTTGGAAAGAAATTCTGACTTCTTTTTTTGGTTCACTTTTCTGCAGTCGCTTAAAACTAGAGAGCGCCTCTACTTCCACTCTAGAGGATCGGGTGAAACGCAATATCCACTCCCTCCAGAGAACTCCCGCTGCCTTGGAAAAAAACTTTATGCAGAGATGAAACTTGTTCTTCCTCTGCTTCTGTGCAGGAGTTAAATGGACACTTATTCCCCAAAGGTGAGAGACCTCCAGCACACAGCCATCCGCTGGCTGCGTACACTGCTCTCTAGAGGAACAGTTGCCATCTCCCAAAGAGCTGCTGGATTTCTGTGCTGCAGCCTACAGCGTGTTCTAGTCTTCTGGCATTGTGAATACAATTGTAATGAGTACCTTGCAAACAAACCTCTGCTGGAGAACTCATGAGCCCTCGTATTCTATTTTTAGCATATTGCCAGATCTTTTCTTGCTCTCTCCACCTTGACTGGTATCGTTTTTGTATACTGTTATTAGCAGATTATGCCTGGTGGTAGCTGCTTTCTACATGGGCAAATTGTCCAAACTCTTTATATGATAGAGCAAAAGACCTATTTTTATTAGTACTTAAAAAAAATGGAGCAGAACAGATTCACTTGTGAGTTAACTTCATTGAATTTGGTAACAGCTGCATGAGTGACAAACCAAATCCCGCTTGGTACTGTCACTATTTCAAGTGTGAATTTGGAGGGTGATGTTAGTCTGTAAAATATCTGTAGCCAGTATTTAATTGCTCACGGATTTGAATGATGTTTTGGCCCAAAGGAAGTTTGTTCGAAGGGTAACGAATGAACCGAGTGTAGCTGATACAGCAAATATTTCTCTGGGATTTTGTAATGCAAGTAATGTGTATATGTACAGCAGTGTAGATTTTTTTTTTTAAAGGAGAAACTTTACTGATATTTTTAAATGTTCTTTGTAGATTTTTGGGGTGGGGGAGGGCAGAGGGAGGAGTGAACTTCCCTGTCAAAGGGAAAACCCACGGTGTTAGGTGGGTCCCGGGGGCTGTAGCGGGTTGTCGCAGCCTTTCGGATTTATACGAGGGCCGGGCTCGTCCCCGGAGGCCGCCCGGCCCGGGGCTCCCCCGCCCGGGGCTCCGGGGGCCCCGCGCCGC